TACCACACTCACCACACACTCACAGCCACACACGCTCTAATGACACGTACCACACTCACAGCCACACACACTCTAACGACACGTACCACACTCACAGCCACACTCGCTCTAATGACATGTACCACACTCACAGCCACACACACTCTAACGACACGTACCACACTCACCGCACACTCACAGTCACACACACTCTAACGACACGTACCATACTCACAGCCACACACGCTCTAATGACACATAACACACTCACCGCACACTCACAGTGACACATGCTCTAACAACACATACCACGCTCACCACACACTAACAGCCACACATACACACTTAAAAATCTGCTTGCCTCCCCATTTCTCCCTCCTATTTTGTACAATACACATGAAGCCAAAACCAGAACATCTGAGATCTCCATTTCTGTTTTCTTCAGCACAGCCTCTGAAAGGACCTTTCCCCCCATTCTCTCCATTTACTTTTTGCCCATAAAATTGGCCAAACTTTCCCAGAATCCTCTAACAAATGCAAATAAATATTTTTAACATGAACAAATTTGCTTAGAGAACTAAATGTTTTTCAAAGACTAAGGTTTGAAATCTACCTATTATCAAACTCATTTATCAAGAATCCTCTAGTCTTAGGTAAACAGTACTTTTCACAGACTTCCAAAGTAAATAGGGACATTCTCATTAGAGGAAGCACTAAAAATACTCTGTGTTTTCTTATCTTGTTTTTGGCTGTTCTTAAAAATGTTTTGCTCTTCCATTTGTCAACCCAGTACGTCAGGCCCACTGGGAGAACTTACATGAGTTAATGAACCTCGGTTACTCTGAGTTTTGCTCTGAGATTCATTACAGTGCTTAGTGCACTAGGTTCAGTTACTGGGCCACTGAAAGCACTCTGTGGAGCAGCAACTGCTCATTTGATAGAAGAGGCCAAGGGCACACATCATCTCTCCATGCTAGTAGGCTATGGGGAGAAACTCCCCCCAGCCTCTCTTCTCTGGTCCCCCTCTGTTTTGCTCCTTGATCTTCAGTGCAAACACCAGTGGCATTTCATCTCCTTGCCATTCAGCTGTACAAACTCCCACCCACCTCGTCCAGCATTATCGTGGCAGAGGAGCAATACCAGGCGAGACCGGAGGCTCATCCCTTCAGAATTCCCACCATTACTGATCCCCAGCTCCTTCTCGTTCAAGCCATTCCTTCTGTGTTTGTTCTGTCATCCTAATCATATTTTAAGTTCCTTATTACCTGCTGCTTCTATACCCTCCTGAAATCTTAAAGTTTAAATTATGTGATCTGTAATAGCAGTAACTCAGTTTTCAAGAAATTTTTTTTATTTTTTTCACCAGTAATGTCAGCCCCATTAGCGTTTCCTGAGTGCTTACTAATGTGGCACATACTGTTCTGAGAGTGAGAACACAAAGGCGAATGTGAAATGCCTCGCAGAGCTCACAGCGAGAAAGAGCACATACAGGCTGAGAATATACGCGCAGCACAGTCTAAATAAAGGGGCTCAGCCTGCTACTTCTAAAAAACCACTTACAACGTATTCTAACTGCTTAGTAGGTGAAATCTAAAAAAACTGGAAAATAATTTGCTTGGTTTCTTAGAAAGAAATTTAAGATACTAGGGGTTGGACAAGTTTGAAACAAAGTACTTAAGTAAAATCTATCCAGTGCCTAGTATCTGCTAACTAACCAGCATGCCAGATGCTGGGAATATGCAACAGTGAGCAAAGACCCAAAAGAGATCTTGCAAAGGTGGAGATTACAGAGCAATGGCATAAACAGGTAACAGACCAGTAAATGATAAGTCACAACAGTGGTAAGTGCCATAGATTACTGAGTATACCTGCAACAGGGACCTGACCTAAAAGCGAGGAATGGGCCAGGTGTCAAGGCAGGCTTCCATGAGAATGTGACATCCAGAGTAAGCCAGGCGCAGAGAAGAGTCTGTGAGAAGGCCACTAGAGGGTGCAGCGTGCAGGGCAGCGCTGGGGACTGAGAGAGAGTGAGTTAGAAGGGCTACAGGCAGCTATGTGGAAAGGAGGCCAAGGAAGCAGGGAGGAGGCAGACCTGTGGGGCCTTGTGAGTCATTTAAACAATACATCTTCATTCTAAAGACAATAGGCAGCCGCTGAAGCGTCTACCTGTGTTAGTAATTGAATTACAAGGTCACCTATGCAAAGGAGCTGGCATAGTCCCAAATCCCTAACAGTAGGCCAATAAATACTGATTCCCCAAACACATCCTGCAAGATTTTCTTGGTGTATTTAAACAATTAACAATCACAGTGAGTATCTTTTTCCTTTTCATGAGTATCTTTATAAAATGAATTAATATTTTAAAATTGTAATTGAGTGCCCACTGTCTCCCAGGTTAACATAATAAAGTAGCATTCAAAGTACACTGGAAATTAGGAGTTGTTTATTGAATCACAAGATGATCATATGTACTGCTGAAAATGCTGTAATGAAGTAAGTCTGTCTCTAGATCTTGATTTTACACTTGGTTTTTAACACTATGTATTTTATAAAATATATTGATATTAAGATAAAACAGAAGCAATTAAAACAATACATGGTAAATGAAGTAACTTAAGGGATCCAAGTTCAGTATTACACATTATTTAGCAACCTAAAGTATGCCTTCAAAGAAGGCTGAGGATCTACTTAGAAACCACCTGTACTTTCCACATACAGTACCTGTGCCCTATTTTTAGAGATTTCTAGCTTTTCACATTTCTCGCATTTTTTTCAAATGTTTCTGCAGCAGTCCATTGAGACTTTGCAAATGATAAAACATTCGACCTAAAATATTTCAACAGTGCATCTGAAAATTTAAATTTGCACAGACAGAAAGCCACTAACCTTACTGATTAAAAAAAAAAAAAGGGTCAGAATCTTTGGTAGCCATTTACCAGACAGGCATCACGTCAGGGAACCATACTCTTCCCAGGTATTTGGAAACTTCTGTGTGAATTTCATCTAGGCTATAGTCTTCGTCCGGGATCAAAACTTCCTCCATTATAGACAGCTGGGTTAGCTTTCTCCCACACAGTCTGACAAACTCAATGAGTGCGCTGCAGCTAACTTCACATTCACTCAGGCCCAAGGCTGTTAAGTTTTTACAGTGTTCAGCAATACAAATCAGTTCATTATCAAGACGCTGAAGACCATTAGCACAAACCACTAACTCAACGAGTCGTGGACAGTTAAGACCAATCCGTCCTAGAATTGCTTTGCTTACTGAACGACCGAAATAAAGATGAGTAACAGGGGTTTCTTCTTTGAAGAAGGTCTCAAATTCCTCTTCATATAAAAAGAAGTACATAACAACATTAACTCTAGGGGAGTGTTTAATAAGCGCATCCCAACTATTTTTTTTAATAGAATGAAATTTAACCTGTCCAGGATTGTCACTCACAACATCGATTCGAAGATGTTCAAGGTTAACATGAGTCTCACTTGAAAGTGCTAGGAGAAGCTCATCACTTAGAATGTAATAATTCAATGCCAGTTCTTTAAGGCCTTGACAGTGATCAGCTACACAAAGGATTCCTGCAGGAAATGGAGGAAATTTCTTGAGAACAAATAATCATGCTGATGGAGATATAACATTTTGTAAACTTAAATGTGATATTACTATTTACTAAAATAAATAATGATTTCTGAGAAAATGGTTGCCAAGACATATATAATTATATATAATTAGAAGTATGTATCCAATACGCTCATGAGAAACCATTTAGACTATATTTAGCATGCAGATTAACACTTATGAAAAAAATTACTATAATCATGTGTTATGTAAGTTTGTATTTTTTAAAATTTTTTTATTAGTTTGTATTTTTAAAAAAGAAATTGCATGATTACTATTATTGTAATAAAAATCATTCAAGCTTTAAAAAATAGAACCTACCGTCAGATGAAACATGAGGACAGCTACTCATTTTTAGGAGTTTTAGAGTGTCACTGTTGTTAGCCACCAGAATCTTCAATGAAGGATCATCCACTGGCGTGTCTTCAATTTTGATCGATGATAATGATTTTGAGTTGACAAAAACCACCGTAAGTGCTGACACAAAATGGGACTTGCACAGCAATAAGAAAAAAATTATGGAAACATTATTCAAAAGTGTACAGGTTTAACCAAGTAATTCATTAATGCAATTTTTATCAACACATGCTAATGATAACATATTAAGAATGATTAATATGTTACTGTTTCCATAGAATCATACAGAAGACATTTTTATAACCAAGTATAGTTTTATACTTTTATAATTGAGAAATGAAATACTAATAAAGGAAAAAGTTTCAAACATTTCATTAAAACACATTTTCCAATTATTTCAATGTTAAGGAATTGATTTTCAATATTAAAAGGGTAAACTTACTGTGTATTTATTTCCTAGATTGAGGAAATGATTAACCCTTCACTGAATCTGACCTACATCCTGTTATTGTACCCCTTGCAAGCTAAGAATGGTTGTACATTTTTTTCATTGTTGTTTTTTTTTTTTTTTTTTTTTTT